ACTCCCAACAGGTTTTGTAGCTGACTTTCCATTCTCTTCTAAGCACAATTAAAAATGCTGATTATCACCTTTTAAAGCACAACATTCCCGGAACCAGCATATTTAAAGGACTACTTGCTCCCATATGTATCTGCCCATCATTAATAGTCTTCTTCTGAAAATCTGTTCTTTGTGTCTCCACCTTCAGAGGTGATGTGCATAGTTATCAAGGATAAGGCCTTTTCTGCAGCCAAGCCCTTGACCTGACACTCCTCACTTCTAGCTGTAATTTTTATTTATTAAGTAATTTAAATATTTATTAGCCACCTTTCTGCCTTGCATAACTCATGGCAGGTTACAATGTAAACAAAATGGTTATTTTAAAAAATAGCTAAAAAGCCATGGTTTAAAATCTGTTAGAGTGGTGCATTTTGTTAGCCGAATTGCCTTATTTTATTAATAAACTTGGAGGATTATGAATACTAAATGACAATAGGCATAAAATGTAAGACCATAACCCATGTATACCAGAGTCAGGATTCACAGAGCCCCTGAATAGACAAGGAGGCCAGGTTACTAAAATAATTGTTTTCTTTACTTAATGATTCTCAAGCATTTACACTCACAATACAGGACAAAGAATACAGAGTTGAAGGATAGTGATGTTTGCATGAGCAGGAATATCGTTGGAGGGTAATATGTTACCTGTCCAACGAGACGAGTAGATCATGCAGGAAAAAAGGAACTAAAGGGGGGGGGTATATCGTGAGCCAACCAGCGACACACATGGAGTGGTTCCAAACTGTTTAGGAATAGATAGAGGGCAAAGAGAAGAGAGCAAGCTCAAGGGAACTCACCTTAAATAGCTAAATTGTGACCTGAGGTGATGGCCATGTGGTCACTGGCAATGTTCCCCCTAAGCTGAGTTAGTGTGAGCTAGCTCACAGTTTTTTAGCCTCAAGCTCACACATTTTTGTCTTAGCTCAAGAAGGATGGCTCCAGACCAAACTATTTTATGCAGTAGCCAATGTGCTCACTCACAACTTTAATGCTAGTAGCTCACAAAGTAGAATTTTGGCTCACAAGACCCCACACCTTAGAGGGAGCATTGGTCATTGGTTCCCAAGAAGTGTTAGGAAAAAAACTATGCTCTGGGTGGGGGACACAAAGGAATTGACAGTTGGGCAATTTAGTCCAGGGTCCGCATCTGGCTTGGCATGCTTCTCTGGCACAAGGCTTCCTTGGCCACAGTGTACAGTCCATAGTCCAGCATTGGGCACTTCTCTTAGGACCACAGCTCTGTCCATTGCCCTGGCACATGCTCTTCAAGCAGTACTCCCTAGAGTATAACCCATCCAACACAGGAGAGATCTCAGGTCTCTGGTCTGCCTTTCTACTAACCCAGAGAACCTCTGTCTTGTCAGGATTAAATATCAGCTTGTCCACCCTCATCCAGGCCATGACTTGCTCCAAGCACTGGTTCAGAACATCAATAGCATCCTCAGAATCTGGTAGAAAAGAAAAGTAGACCTGGATATCATCCACATATCGGTGATACTGCAGCCCATACCTCCTGATTACTTTCCCCAGTGGCCTCATATAGATAGCACGGGGGAGGAGATTGAACACTACAGGCCACAGGCCAACAGCCATGGGGCAGAGCAGGAATCCCCCAACACTACCTTCTGAGTCTACCCCCCTGATAGGATTCAAAACACCATAACCCGGTGCCCCTTAATCCCAGTGTGGAGACGCAGATCAGTAGGATACTACGGTCAACAGTATCAAAGGCTGCTGAAAGATATAGCAGAACTAGCAGCATGACAACCCCCCTGTCAAGTTCTGGAGGGAGGTCATCAACCAACATGAGCAAAGCAGTCTCTGAGGCCAGATTGAACTGGGTCCAGAAGATCACCTTCTTTCGAGAGCTCCTAGAGCTGAGAAACAACCACCTGCTGTAGCACTTTGCCCAAGAATGGAAAACTAATGTTGAAACATCAAGGACTTACACACAATTTGTTGCAATTTGGTCTAGGGTTCTCAATTTTATGTCAGAAAAGGACATTCTTCCGTCCAAAGCGTCATACATTCCCTGGATACGATTTTAAACATATTTACCCACCATTGCTTTACTTTTTGAGTTTTAGTGCAATGGTCAATCTCTAAGAGGGTAGGCTTTTAGAGCAAAGTTAAGCTGGTAGTCCTTGCAATGGGTTATGTTTATTCTCAAAGTTTCATGTTAGTGTTACATTCGTCTTGTAATGTGCTTTTTTTCTCTTTTTTCACTGTTGTTCCATTACGTCTTTTCTTAATTAAAAATTATTAAAAAAAAAAGAATGGAAAACTGAAGACAGCGTAAAAGTTCTCCAGCATAGAATGGCTTCAGGAGTCTCCCCCCCCCCAACAGCTTTAATCACTGCCTCCTTGAGCACAGGTGGAATAACTCCTGCTCTCAAGGAAGCATTTAGCACTCTCCTTGCCCACTTTCCAATTCACCTGACATCTACCTTAGCTAGTTTTAGGCACCAAGTGAAGACTTATCTCTTTCCTCAAGCTTCTGTAGTTTATTTCACATCATTTTTCTTCTCGTAAGCTGCCTCTGGCAGGTTCCCTGGAGATGCAGCATGAACATCTTATAAATAAATTCCATCTAGTTCAATAAGTACTCTGTCTCTGTAGGTAGTATTTCAGGGGGCATCTTGAAAGTATTGCTGAAAGGATCAAGTTGAGCATGTGCAGGCATATTGTAGGCAGATGATCATTGTGATGGAGAACTATGTAGTGTGCTGGTGTTGCAATCATCTTCAAAATCCCAGGTGTCAAGTCACCTTGGAAGGCCAAGGAACTGAACAAGGTGCTGCTGGGAGACAAAAGCAGAATAGGTGTTCTAAGCAAGAATTGTGTGTATAGTCTTCTGGTCCCAGAAGCACTCTTTGTCTGAGGGATGTGATGGCTGTTGGCAGCCCTGAAGCAGAATATGACAACTATCATCTTGCTGTTACTAGGAATATACCTAATATTTCACATGCATTAAACATTTCACAAGCCCCTATCCACTGATAAGTTCCATAATTAGACTATCAGGTAATCTTGTGATCCTCTTTGTTGGAGATCCTCAGTACAGTAGAATCTATTTTGTTCATATTAGTTTACTAATCAGAGAAAGCAAAAAAAATATCTTGTAAGTGCTTGGAGGGTTTCTTTCTCCTTTAAACACCTGTTCAGGCATGCAATGACAGCTGTGCTTTTTCCCCTCAAGGTTCCTTGTGCAGCTGTGCTTACATTCTTCAAGGATAAAACAGAGCTTATTTACATCCTTTTATTACATCCATAAGAAATTACTCTCCCTGCCATTTTGTATAGCACTAATCAGAAGCCATATCAATTGCAAATCCCTTTTGAGAGAGCGAGAACAGGGTCAACAACATGTGAGGAGCAATTCATCATCAGTTCCTTCATTTGTAGGAAATTATACACCACGTCTTTTATGATCTTTAAAATCAACTTACCATGTGTTGCTTCAATTTCCAAATGGTTTCCTGTGAATGAAAGACATCTAATTGTTTGGCTCCACCCACCAGCCTATAATAGCTTTTGACAGGTTTCTTTTAAAATGCGTATTGAGTCAGTGTCCATACTAGAAAACATATAAAACTGGGTTGTAGCGAAAGTAGCCTAAACACAGATGAGCAGCACATAAATACTGAGTACTAGTACTCAAATCCCTCAATGAGCTTAGACTGTGAGATGTGGAGTAATTTCCCCAGCAAAACGTAACCCACCTCCTCTTTCCTAAACATGAGTGAAAACTAGCTCTCAACCACATTCTCTTCCCCTGTCATTAGGAGAGCTCAAAGGCCAGTTTATGTTATTTCTAGCCAACATGGCTGCTGTTGCCACTGTAGATTCCCCAAGCAGTTCTAGGTAGTGTGGCATTTTCTCTTGCCAGTATGATTTGAATGGATTGCATGGTTGCCTACCAAACTGGCAAAACCTCTGATTGCCACTGTGGCACACAACATGTCCTAGTGTTGAGGGCTGATGAGGAACACATTATCTAGAATGGCATAGAAGCCATTAGGGTGGCAAGAACAACCAAGTCTCTTGAAGTAACAAAGTATAACTAGGCTTAATTTTGCCTCACAAAAATGTCTGTATGTGTGTGAAAAGATGGAAGATACAGGGCAGAAGGTAGAGTGACTACAGACTAGCTCAGTGCCTTGGAATGTTTAAAGATGAAGTCACAATCTCTGAGCAAAGACCAGACAACTCCAGCAAAATATGAAATAAGTATATAAAGGACCTTGAAAGCTAACAAGAGACAATAAGACTATGTTGCCAGTTGCTACTCTGTTTCTGAAGCCAATGGAAAGGCTAGTGGAATGAGCATCAAATAGTTTGTATTCAGTAGCAGGGATTGCGGTGGCCTGGGAAAGAGGAAGGGGGATGTCAGAGAACCAGCTGCATGTTATGGCAAAGAATTCAGAGGTGAAGAGGTTAATGGCACTACATTACAGAAACTGCTTATGTATTATATCACTTCTGCAGTGCTGAGGACCAGGGATAATCTTGTCTCCAAAAACAAACACCACTAAAACGTTCCTGTGATTTGCCATGAGGAGAGTGTATGACGATATCATAGTCCTGTTTAATTTTCCTCCCAGAAAGTAAACGAATTAGCACCAAATAATATCTTAAAAAATGACCCATAAAACATAGCTCCTGTCTTGAAATTCATGGGTATTTGAAGGGTTACAGTACAGGCAAATTTTCTCAGTTGTCTCTCCCCCCCCCCACTTCTTTCCATTTTATAAGTTACTTGAATAAATTATATGCGTATTGTGAAAAGAGATTTTCTACAGTTTAGAAAATTCCATTTTTATTATTCTAAAAAACTTGTATTGAAATTATGGCATATGCTTTTACTCCTCCTGTATTACTGGAAAAATGGAGAAATATTATAAGAATGTCTGACATTAAAAAATAACAGCAGGATGATGTTTCACTTTTGTCTTTAACAGGATTGTTTTACAGATGCAGGCAGAAAATTGAAAAAAGACTCTCAGCAGGACTACCATCTGGAGTATGCCATGGAAAACAGAACCCATACAATACTAGTTTTCAGTCGGCAACTTCACACTTGCGATGTCAATGACAAAAGTATAACGGTAATTTCATGATAAATCCAATTGAGGAAGAGAATTATTCATCAAATAGAAACTGAGTAAATAAAAGTCTGTCAAAAATAACGCTCTTTATGAACCTTTCATTCTCAAGGCTACATTAATTGTTATGCTAAGTATGCTGTAGTGTTTGGATTTTGCTAAATTGGTGCATCTGCTGATCTATAATTAACTGAGCACCTCTGAAGGGTGACTGGCAAATGGATCTGTTTCTGCTCCCTCTGTAAGGCTCCTTCAAGCTTCCTCACCACAAAAACATAGTGGTGAGTAGTGGGGTTTTTTATGACATCAAGAACAGAACACATAATTACTTCCAAGGGAGGAGAAATCCCATTTCCCTCCTCCCCCCTTTGCCACTATTTCTGCCCTGGCTATTCTGTCCCTCAATGGCTTTGGCTCCCTTCTTCCAGTTCTGACTGATACTTCCTCCCTGCTGCCTCCAGCTCATTTCCTCTTCCTGCTGGCCATCACTGCTTCTACCTTCTCATCTTGGCTGCCAGGTTATTTCCAGTATTTGTACACCATTTCAGGTTTACTATGGCCCCGTTCATACGAGGGGTTTTGGTCCGAGAGCGAGACAGAACGGGGGCGGATCAAACGGGCGCGATCCCACGGCAACATCTGGGAATCGTCGCCTATCCGTCCCCTATCTGTCTCTTCCGCGTGAAAACCCGCACTAAAAAGAACCACCTACCTGGATGGTTCTTGCGAAGTAGAGCGGCTCAAACCGGTCGTGGGATTGGCCGCGCGTCCTTGCGGCGGCACATCCCGGCCTCCGGCCAAACTGCGCATGCTTGAGCATGCGCAGTTCGGCGGCCTCCCCCTTGCCTCCGACTCTTCCTCCCTGGCATGTGATCGTGCCGGGGAGCAATGGCGCGTGGTGCACGGGATCCCGCGTATCTTTTTTGATGCGGCTCTCTTTAGCCGCACTTCGCCTCGTGTTTTCCCTGCCGTGTGGCAGGGGCCTATGCAACTCTTTAGCTGTTTGCTTTTGGTTGTAATGTCTGTGCAGATGTTACTAGTGACGAATCAGGGATAAGGCTTTCATGCCTTTTAACCCGCAAATTTCTATTTTTTCCAAAAAAACCTTTCAAACCTAGGGAGTTCTGGGGGACTATTTATGTATAGGATTTAGATTTTATCTGACTTTTTGGTCCCAAACCCCCCAAAGTGACTTCAAGTAAAACATAAAAACACAAATTCAGAGTGTAAAATAACTAGAAGAAACAATGTGTGTGATGCCCCTGACCTGATGATGTCACATGCAAGTGACATCATCACGCCAGGGACATCATATGGCAACACTCTGGTGTTTGGGGCAAAACTCCATGGTTACCATAGAGTTTTGTCCAAAATACCAGAGCATTGACACACGATGTCCCCAGCGTGATGATGTTTCTTGTGTATGATGTCATCACGCTGGGGACTTTGCACCAGGTTATGGAAGTTGGGGGTGGGGCTCCCCCCACCAGCCAGCTGGCTGGCAGCAGGCAGGAGTCCACAAAATCGGGGAATCCCCCACTCCCACCTGGGGGCTGGCAACCCTATAGGAAACATAAGTGCTGATGTTTAAAGATGCAAAAGTTCATCTGGCTAGTTGTAAGGCTTGGTTTCATTTTCTCTTATGCCTAATTGTTGAAGTTTTTCTTTTTCAGGAAAGCACAGTAAGAGTGATATGGGCATACCATGACAAAGACTTCAGAGAAACAGGTCCAAATTATCATGGTTCAAATCGGGGGACAAAGAGCCTACGTTTACTGAACCCTGAGAAAACCGCTGTTATCTCTCCCTCGTTGCCCTACTTTGACTTGACAAACCAAGACGTAGGTTACTTTGGATTTTACTTTTATTGAGTATTAGTACAAGATGAATGGAATTATTATAGGGTGGTGTGGTGGTAGTGGAAAGTGCTGTCAAGTCTCAGCTGACTTCTAGCAACCCCATAGGGTTTTCAAGGCAAGAGACATTCAGAAGTGGTTTGCCGTTGCCTGGCTCTGTGTCATGGCCCTGGTATTCCTTGGAGATCTGCCATCCAAATACTAGCCAGGGTTGACCCTGCTTAGCTTCTGAGATCTGACAAAATAGGGCTGGGCTATCCAGGTCAGGGTATATGACTGTATAGGGAACAAAAATTAGACTTTTGTATTAGCTTTTCTTTTCCTTTTTATTAAGACAGGTGCCTATACCAGACAAGGACACAACATATTGGTGCCAAATGTTTAAGATACCTACAGTTCACGGAAAGCATCATGTAATAAAGGTATGCTATCTAGCTGTCCAGCTTGATGTTTGCTGCTGCTTCTCTGAAATGTGTTCTCTCTTTTTTTGGCTGCAGTTCTCTGTATTTGTAGATGAGATTTTAAAATAGTAAAGATCATTGAAGAATAGGGACATATTATTGACTGCTAAAAATCAATACTGTTTCATTGACTTTAGTTTTGTCATATCTCCAAATCTGGGTGAAAAGATGGAAATCTGAAAGTTCCCATTGAAATAGGAATTCCATTTCCCCCCCTGATCTATGTACCAGTAGAATTGTAGATGGGTTCTGAGCACAGAACAACGCACTGTGTTATTATCATCTATATACTAATACCCAAAATCCCCTTTTGCACGTGGATAATTATTTCCACCAACAGAGGGCTCATTCTCCCCCAACAGGTTTCTCTACAGACTCAGGGGACTCCATGGTCTGCAGAAAAATCCAAAAAGTTAAAAAAAAACCTCAGGGAGGGTTGAATCCCCCCATACCTTTTGAAATGGCCGTCGTAAGGATTTACTCCAGGCCCTGCCTCATCAACAGTCTTTCTCTTTCTCTCTCTTTCTGTCTCTCTCTGTCTTTCTGTCTGTCTGTCTTTATCTTTCACTCTCTCTGTCTATCTTTTTGTCTTCCTGTCTTTCTCTGTTTCTGTCTTTTCCTCTTTCTCTTTCTATCTTTCTGGTAATTAAGGGAAGAGAGATTATATTTGAATAGTTTCTGTAAGTAATTTTTTTAAATGTCAGCCTGCTCACAGTTTTAAAGCTAGCACCATTTTTGGCTCACAGGGTAAAATTTTTGCTCACAGGGCGGCTCACCTTAGAGGGAACATTGGTTGTGATTCCAGATCTTCAGGTTGCACCTGGAGTTTGGCAATTGTAGAAGGAGAGAAGGAGGCAGGAAAAGGGGACAGACTATGGGGGCTTTCAGGAAAAGGAAAGATGAAATAGTGGGGGAAGGGGAAATGAAATGCCTCCCACAAGTCCTTGTGGGTTCCCACTTGTATGTTCTAATAGCCAAGTGCGGGCCTATTTACAAATATCTAAATCTGCAGATTGGGCCCAGAGTCACAGAAAACAGATCTGCTAACAGATCAGTTTGCAGAAAAATCTGAAAATGTTAAAAAAAATACATTGAGGGGGTTAATTCCTCCCAAAATCAATAGAGTCTGCATGTGTGCAACTTCTATACTCCTTTGCCCTGAGGTGGCAAAGCTGCAAGTGGGTATCGCAGGCCCTGAAGAGGCCGGGGGAGCAGCTGGCAGAGTCAGTGAAACTGGTGTGCAGGAGGTGATCCACCACTCACGCAATGAAGAGGCTGGGCGCGCGCGCGAGCGCGCGCGCTGAAAACAGGGAGAGGGGGCAGAAAGAAAGAGTGATGGGGTTCAGGGGAAGAAAGAGAGAGTGATGGGTGAGGGGACAGAAAGTTCAGTTCAGTTCACTTTGATTTATTGCATATGACCAATGGCCATTACAAATACAGTACAATACAAAAGAGTTATAAAATGCAGAATAGGATCTGCGTTAAAACACAGAGA